AAATACGTTTTTTATTAGCTTCAAAATTTAATTTTTGTGGATGTACTGAAGATTTGCAGTGGGATTTTGCCATTGGGCAAAATACAAATAATTTTTGTTAAAATTCTTTTTTATGACCACAGTGTTTATTAGACAGAAAAAGTTTTTCTCTTTTTTTCTTTATTTTTTTATAGTCACAAACTTACAGCACTCTAAATTTTGACATTTGGACACGAAAGTGGGAGTCAAATAAAGAAAAGGAAAGAAGAATAGTTCTGAGTTAATATCTCCTTTTAGCTTCCAGGGCTAATCTAGACGAGGCCTTCTTTGTTTACGCGGAGAACGAACTTTTATGATATATCCGATCGTATTTCTCAACTCCTAGCTCTCCTGACCGATATGAATGGACAATGGGCTCAATAGATTTTTCATTTTGGTTAGCAGATCTTCAGACATCTATACGTCCAAATATTCACAAAATTTGACGTCACTTAATATTGGTGATCGATCCGGATCCAGTATTTACACATAGCTAGATCGTTGGCCTACAAAAGGTTTAATTAATAATTTATTTTTTTTATATTTTCCAAACCACAGGAGTTCCTCAGAATTAACAACACGGTGATAGAACAAGTATCGTCCGTAAAAAAATTAGGATCCCTTATTAACAACGCTTGCAACCCCAAGACAGAGATTTTGTCGAAGATCAAAAAGAACTTTCACCTTTACGAAAATCTTCTTCTCCGGCAGAGATTCTGAACCTCGAACTGCGCATACGTATGCTGTTGGTACATCTGTACAATATTTCTCTACGACCCTAAGAGTAAGACAATTATACCGTCCGTTTCCGTTCCATATCCGTTCCGTATATCCGTATAGCGTCCGTATAATTTGATTCCATTCATTCTATAAAATAGTTAGTGTTTATATTCACACTATAAAACGTAACCACAGAAACGGAACGGATAGTGTGCATTGCCCTATTCATTTACATAATATAATATTTTATGTAAACGGAAAGGAAACGAGTCTAATAACGTAGTATAGTGAGTGAGAATCAACCTTTAATTAGACATTTGAAACCCGTATTAACACTGGGTTACTTTGAATGTGGTAGACCATGATATTACTGAATATTACTTCTGACCGAAACGTTGTGTAAGCAAAATAAATAAAGACAATGGAAGTCCGAAATTCTTTTAGTTTTAACACTGGGCTGGTTAACGCATTTATATTGGGTAGATAAACTAAGGAATGAGGAGGTATTCAGGCGGATAGAGAAAGATAAATAGCTCTTATCAATTGGTAATGAACAGAAGCTATAGTATATCGGTTACATCATGAGGGGTGAACAATAGGAGGTGCAGAACTCGTAGCTTAAAGATCTGCGACATTGGTTAAGGAGAACATCTATTGAAATTTTGAAAGTTGCAGTTTAACGTACAATCATAAACATTTGTAACGCCAACCTCCTAAAGGAGCTGGTGACCTAAGATAAGAAGCTAATATTTTATCAACATAAATATTAGAATAATTTCTAGTAAAAAAAATATACGTTTTTCCAGTTGAATATTATAATTTCCAGCTAATATTCTTCTTTCGAGAATCATGGCCCATGTTAATGGTAACTCAAGTAGAACCTTAACAAATCCACGACAAGCTACGCCAATCGCGAACGACGGCCGGCTCGGACTCGAACTGAATTTATAAAGCGGTCATCCCTTCTTCGACCGCAAACGTAATTCCGTTGCCCTTTTCTTGTCTATACGTGGCCTTCAATTTATTTAATTCCGGTGGAGGATTTGTGTTGGGGCGCGTCCAGTCAATATTGCTACAAAGCGGACGCCGCGCCGCACGATAACCTAACCGGTTGAAAATTTATAGGGAGAACATGAATTGGCAGAGAAATGAAGCGATATCCTGTAATATTATTTCTAAGTAGCAATAGGAATGGTTCGATTACACGTTTTTGATGTAGGTTGTAGTAATATAAACATTTTTATTGTAAGATTTTTGGATCTGGAAATTAATTTTGACCACTTAGCCATCAATTTCACGCTCTTTATAATTATAGCTTATAAGCTTATAACTTATAACAAAAATATTAGTTACAACTGATGCCGTATGAAACTGGATGATTTACTATCAAGGTAGTTTCGAGATTGACAGTTGAAAAATCTATTTTTTTTAATTTAATAAGTTTTCCAATTTATTTTTATAAATAATATATTTCTATAACGTTTTATGGAAGCTGGCTAAGCGCTAATTATGTATAGAGGAAGGAAAATTCTGACGTATTAAAAACGTATTGTAAGCACTTACCAATCAATTTCGCGTTACTTATCTTACACCGGTTGCGTGCCAAAAGTGGATCACTCCTATAACTTTTTTATTTTTTTTCAGATAAAAAACGAGATTTGGTCTATTACAATATGACGTGAATTAGGATTGATTAACGTATGCAATTATTTTCAGTTACTTTCTGTTTCACCGGAAATTACTAGAACTTTTTATTTTTAATTAGCATTCTCGGTATTTTTTTACTTTATTCGATAGAAAATGACACTCTGAATAGAATGACATAACATGTCAACTTTTGACATTTTCGTTAAAAAAAACTCAGCAATCGTTTTACCGGAAATGAATACAACTTTTGATTTTTTAATGAGACCCCCAGTATTTTTTTACTCTATTTGATACTTTGAATAAGAAGACTAAGGAAGGAGCATATCAATAATCTTACGTCCACCGCGATGGGCCTCAAATATGGCCGACTTAAATTCCGATTTATCAGTGCCGTTCTAATTTTATTTAAAAAATATAAAACTATGATGTAGGGTAGACGTGGGGTAGACTCAATAATATGTTGTTTTATTTGACGTTGTGAATAAATGTTGGTAGTTATTTACAAAAATATATAATTCTAATAAAAATAGATAAGTTATAATAATTATTTATTAACACAAACATCCGATATGCTACTGAAGCAGGTAAATCTGGTAAATCTGGTAAATTAAATTGACGTAGCTATAAATTCTTTGACATCTAATCTTTGACAAGTAGTAAATAAAAGCAAAAATGCAAGAAAAAATATATAATTAGTTAATTTAAGTGAATTTCATAAATGATCGGTTTACTACACGTATGTATATTATATAGTCACTTACTAGCGAAAAGTTGTTCCATTATTTCACTCGATTTTTGCCGAGATCTACCGCACGCTACACAACCAACTATTTTAGAGTCTTTTTCGATAAATAGCGATAGTGTCACTGTTAATTTAAGTTCTGCCACAATTTCCATCTAGATTTACTACCTTTATACAACTATCAGTAGTAGAATAAATAATAAATAACATAAAATAAGCTCCGTAAAGACTGACAAATCCATAAAATTTCAAATCAAATTCAAATGTGTCAAATGAATCGTCAAACAGAACTGTCAAGGATCCCCACCCTAGAGTGGTTTTTCCGCCCACCATGCATGAATACATGGATAGCATTATGCTCCTTCCTTAGTCTTCTTATTCAAAGATTTAATATGTATAAAATGACGTTCTGAATAGAATGACATATCATATGTCAACTTTTGACATATTTAATTAAAAAAATAGCATTTTAAATTTAAATATAGACTGCGATGGTCATAAATGTAGCGACAATTTGACTTGGAATATCAAATGTCTGGTACCAAATTATTCGAAAAAAATGCTTTTTCCAAATATGCTAATGAGCCACCTTTGTTCCATTTAAAAAAAAATTGAGATATGATTAAAAATACGATTTGGACATCTTTTAACCAGCCAGGAAAGACACGAAAAACATTAGACGATCAAATATATTTTTCCAAGACTCCTTGATAAAAATTAGTGTTTTTAACATAGCCGATTATTTAAAAATCAAAAGTTGTAGTCATTTCCGGTGAAACAGGAAGTGACTGAAAACAATTGAATACATCAATCAAACCTAATTTATGTCATGTACTAACAAACCAAATTTCGTTTTTTTATCTAAAAAAATAAAAAAAGTTATAGGGGTTGGTTCACCCTTATAACTTTCTTTTTACCCCGTTTTGAGACGCACCTGGTAGATATCAATATTATTACTTTTAACTGATGCCGTATGAAATAAATGATTTAGGATCAAGGTATTTTCTACTTTCTTACTACGACAGTTGAATCTCTATTCTATTTTTTTTTAGTTTAATAAGTTTTCTAATTTATTTTTATACATACATTTGTGTCACGTTTTATAGCAGTTATTATGCCAGAATCAGGAAAATTTAAATAATTTTCAAATTTTATCTCGGTACTGATGACACTGTGTTCACGTGTATAGCAGCCAAAACATACATAAAAATACATAGAAACCTAAATTTAAGGATTAAAAAATATTCAGTTGCTTGAAAACGTAGATTTTATCCAAACAATATAAAATAAAACAGTGTAAATATTCGTTTCGAAATTCTGGACCTAGGCTCCTACGTTGCCTTGTCCACGAGCTTGTCCACAAACATTTCACTCACACTGTAAAAGTCGATTTAGATAATTTATAACATAAATAAATATTTATTACTGGAGTAGAAGCTGCAAAAGCAGTTAGTGTAATGAAACAATAATATAGTAAAGACTCGATAATCCGGATCAATTAAAGCACAGGTTAGTCCGGATTAATAAAAAAAATCCGGATTATCGCGATTTGCCTTTTTACATATATATTTAAAAAAACGAATAAAATAAAACATTTTTATTAGCAAAACCTTAAAAACAAATATATTTTAAGTAAGAATAAGTATATTCTATAACAAAACTCGTTGTGAATGGGAACATACATCCTATGGATACCAAAGTATAAAATACATACTACATTATTTTAAATAATCAGAGATTTTACTTTGTTTTTTAAGTACATTAACTGAAGAATGCTTAACTATAGCTTCCTCTTGTATATTTTTTAAGACAAGAATATCGTTAATACTAAGATCATTCTCTTCAGCCCACTGCAATCCCAGTGTAAAATATTTTAATGCATCAACGTGCTTGCCTTTTTTTGACTGGATATAGCTTCATCGCTGGTCTCGTCGGCGTCATCTATAACTTCATGTTCGAGATCACCATCCTCTATGATATTCTCAGAGTTTTCAACCCATTGATTCATTTCAGCATTTGTATGAATTTCTCCATCAATTTGCGTCAACATGTTTAAAATGTCTTGGTAGCCATGTTTTGCTTGCTGCAATTTCTTTTGCAACTGGCGTAGGGGAATGATATCATCGGGGTCATAATCTGCTAAATTGCCTGATAAAAGTTTATGCCAACACTTTTCTAAAGTGGTCGTTGTAAATTTTTGCCATGAATTATGGAGTAAACAAACTGCATCCATAAGATTAATTTGCTTAATGCATTTACCAATATCATCCCCGTCTTCAAATTGCAAAAGGATATGGGCTAAAAGACCTTTTCGGTAGTTTAGCTTTGTTAATCTGATCGAACTTTGATCCATTGGTTGAATCAAAGCTGTGCAGTTTGGGGGTAGAAACAAAGTGAAAATTTTCCCATCTTCACTAATTAATTCCTTCTCAGAGCAGTGACTGGGCGCGTTATCAATTAACAGTAAGGCTTTTTCAGGAAGTCGATGGCTTTTCAAAAATGATTTTACTTGTTTGCAGAATGAATTACGAAACCAATCCTTAAAAATTGCAGACGTCATCCATGCGTTACCACTAGAGACATATTCGACAGGCAAAGCTTTGTTTTTGAATGCTCTTGGATTCTTTGCTTTTCCGATGATAAGAAGTTGAAGTTTTTGGGTACCATCACCATTTGTGCAAGCTAAAAACGTAATTCGCTCCTTGCTTGATTTTCTGCCGGGCGCCGTTGCTTCGTTACTGTAAACTAAGGTTTTATCAGGTAATAACTTCCAAAAGAGTCCTGACTCGTCAGCATTATAAATTTGCCGAGGAGCAAGATCGTGATTTAATAACTTGCCTTAGTTTAGCAATAAATGGCGGTACAGCAGATTCATCATTGGGTAATTTCTCTCCGCAGATTTTAAGATATCTTATCCATGTCTTTTTTTAAAATTGAGAAGCCAGCCTCTACTTGCAGTAAATGTATCTTTTCCATAAATATTCTGGAAGAGTTGACGAGCTTTTGCGCCTGGTATTTCAAATGAAAGGGGAATATGTTTGCTTCGTTCATTTCTGGGTATTCTGCCTGCCGGAGGGTTTTACGAACACCTGGTCCGGATTGACAAATTCCAATAAATATAAAAGAATTGATATGATTGAGGCTCTTTTCAAAATATGTTTGTAGTTAATCTTACCTCCTTATTTTATTCTCACTTTTCTTAATGTCGGAAATAGTAGAAGTTCCAATGCCATACTTTTGGGCAAGTAATTTACCACTAACACCATTTATTAGTTGATCTCATATTTCACCTTTTTGTTTTATCGTCAAAGCGATTTGTTTACGTTTCCCCATTCTGAACTAGGTACCTACGTTAAAACACGTCCGGCGGTCAAGTTATTACGATATAAATGAATTATCGCTTCGAGAAAACGCGTTAAAACAAGTTAGAACCACAAATTCGGATTACCGAATCATACGAAATCCGGATTACAAGGCACATAATGCAAGTGCGCTGCCGATCCGGACTAGCAAGGAATTCGGATTATCGAGTCTTTACTGTATATTTGCAGGTGCAAATATCAACTGTAAGTTGAATTGAAATTCTTCGTTTTTGATATTTTATCGCGCTTAAGTTTAAATTTTTTTATCGCCATTATACTTTTAAATAAGTGCAAATATTTTCAGGGTTGGTAGATCTCGATAAAAGAAACATATTTTCCCTTTACCGCTCTTAAATTAAATCCAAAGTAACCAAGTTCACTTCGAAAATTTCCAAAAAAAAAATATTTTATTGCTAAAATTTTGAGAACTACTGGATCTTTTCTCAATTATCTTTTTTGTAAATTTAATTTACTACCTATGTTGCCATATTATCAAGAAATTATGTTTTTTAACTAAAAACTAAAAAAAAAACAAATTCCAAATTTTTTTTTCGCGAAAAAAAATTATATCGTGTTTCTGGGGTCGAAATATACTACCCCTAAAAATATTTGCACTTATTTAAGACTCACCCTGTACAAGAGTCACCCAGAAATATTTTTTTATTATTTTATTCCGGTGGAGGATTTGTGTTGGAGGTCCACTGCGTTCAGTCAATATTGCCGCAAAGCGAACGACGCGCTGCACGATAACTAACCGGTTGAAAACATATCAGGAGAACATGAATTGGCAGAGAATTGCAGCGATATCTTGAAATATTATTTCTAAATAACTATTATTTCTATATGTATATACGTCTCGATTACGAGTTTTTGATGTTGGTTGTAATAAATTAAAAATTGTGATTCTATAGCAATTGGTTTTAAAAATTAATTGTGACAACTTAGCAATCAATTCCAAGTTGCATCTTTATACACAAGAACATTATTACTTATAACGGTTGCCTTATGTAAAAATTGACTGATGATCAAGTTATCTTTGACTTTGACGGTTAAAGAATCTTATATATTTTTGTCAGATCTTTATTTTCATTTTTTCTACCACTCTACTACTAATAACTCTGGTAGGATAAGCATAATAATAGTAGTAATAAGTAGAAAAATAGTTTAAATACCTAAATATCTTACTACTTACTATCCTATACCGGAATGACTGTGACCTGTATGTCTGTATCCTTTCTATGTATGTGCCAAGTCTCCCTGTGCCCTGCACCAGCTCGTGCAGGTTCATGATAGGATGGAAGCATACTTCCTGCAGTTTTGGTTTTGTATTCCCAAATATAAAGTGTCTCTTGCGATCCACAGCCTAGCAGTTACATGTTATGTGCTCTGCTGTTTTAGAATCTTTATCGTAAAGTCTGCAGCAAAAACTTCCTTGCTACAGGTTGATCTTGGTTCAGGTAGCACTTGACAGCGATATGTCGTTTGGTTTGGTTTGGTTTAAAATATATAAAATTATAAAAATCATTACTTATTTTATGTGATCTAAGGTATTTTATATATGATTGCAACCGTTCTCTATTTCTGATCCAAACATGGTCTGTGTTATAATTTGGAAATTGTGATTCCACCTTGAACAATAACTCCCCTGTTTGTAAAGTTTCCATATGAAATCAACCGTTTTATTAGATTTCACAGAATTTCAATAATATTCCATTAAACAACTAGCAAACAAACGTACAAGTGACTGACTGGGTTGTACGTTGAAACGTCGACATTCCTCCATTGAATTATAACACGCAACCGAGTGTGAGTTGGAGAAAACTTTGGCGCAGATTTTCGTTACCAGTCAGTGCCGTCTTTTTGTCAGCTCAGATGACTTCGCTTTTAAACTTTAGCCAAAGTTTTATTTCGGAAAGTAACGTGCGAAGGAAGGTCGGCATGTGGAAAGGGAAAGAGGTCGCCGTGAGGGGAAATGAGTGGGATAGTGCAAAGGATGGGAGTGGGTGAGAGAGAGAGAATGCTGAAATTGCGAAATTCTCTGGATTACGGACGTTCCGAGAGAAATAATTGTGCGTCGCGTGCCGGTGGGGGGGGGGCGTGTTCTGTTTTTTCCTGGGCAAAAGACACGTCTAAAGTGGAAACTGTGTATAGCCCTTCAAAGGATTAGGTCCGATTTACGAAACAGAATTTTCAGAAAAAATGGGAGAAAAAATTACCATTTGGATCGGAATTTGTTTTTAACAATAAATATTCGTATTAGGTTTCTTATTATAATTATGATATGACAGCAGAAAATACAATATGATCGAAAAATGCGGCGTCATCGATGGCTTTGAAATGGCTGTCATGTTATATGTAAATTTAACCGAGTGTGAGCGGGAGAAAATTTTGGCGCAGATTTTCGTTACCAGTCAGTGTCGTATTTTTTCAGCTCAGATGACTTCGCTTTTAAACTTTATCCAAAGTTTTATTTCGGAAAGTACCGCGTGAAGGAAGGCCGGCACGTGGAAAGGGAAAGAGGTCGCCGTGAGGGGAAATGAGTGGGATAGTGCAAAGGGTGGGAGTGTGTGTGAGAGAGAGAAAATGCTGAAATTGCGAAATTCTCTGGATTACGGACGTTCCGAGAGAAATAATCGTCCCTTTAATAGTTTGAAAACTCTTCTGCACCCATCACTTTTAATAATAATAGAAATAGTTTGGGTACCTAGGTCGATTCAGTCTTATATGAGTACTTGTGATTGACAATCCTGGGTCAATAATAGGCGGTTGAAGCCTAGTGCTAGCGACATTACTTCCTTGTATGCTGAACGGCTCTAGCATAGTAAGATATACCTAACCCAAGGCATATAAACGCTATATACGTACGACAATTATGATAATTCTCCTAGGAAAGATGGTATTAGTAGCGAATTTTTATTTAGGCATTTATTTGGCATACTCCTGTAGATTGTAGATGTTCTATAAAAATACGAAAATACGCCTAAAATAAAAAAGCACATTCTTTATAAATTGCAACGGCTACAGTCGCACAATTATATAAAACAGCACGGCCAAAATTTAGCATTTGAAACATTGACCATTCATTAGCCGCAAATCTAATTCAGTTGCCGAACACACACATTCTCGAACTCTCTCCGTCTTTTCTACGTCGAACAAACCTTGAACCGAAAAGGAAAAACTCTTCTGGGAACTTAAGCCACCTAAAGGACCCGTGAGATAGTTAGAAATGCGCCCGGTACAAAAAGAATTCGAGAACTTAATAGAAACACTCGAAAGAGAGAAAAGTCCTCGAAACGTCGTTGGCGTATCCTGCCGCGCACCGGAATACAAACGACGAGGTGGAACAAGGTGGACCCGGGGGAAACGTAGAGGAAGAGGAACGAGAGAACAACTTTTATCTGGGATAAAAATCGCTAACGACTTAATCAGTTTATAATAACGTACACTGGAATCGGATAAATCGACATTTATCATCGAAAGAAGAAAATAGAAGTATTTGAGTTTAAACTTTTTGCTTGACAGGACTTATTTCGTAGGCAGAGTATGACCTGCCTTGCTTGCCTATACAGGATGTCCAAATATTGCGCGGACATAGAACTTGTACATAATTTTGAAATCAAAATAAGTTGTATACAATTTACCTCTATACAAAAATGCTTCGTTTGTCCGATATAGGGTATTAAACATATATACAAGGTCCGGCAATAGTGCGTCGGGCATCTGTGAATTTCGTTGAAGTGCAAACCTAAAGTATGTACTAGAATGTATTTCACGAAAATATTTACTTTTACAAGGTGGCTGAAAAAAGTGTGAATGGATCGAGATGATTTGTTTAAATGGTTTGGTCTCTACAACACCCTGTATATTATTGCATTTTGGCGTAATTTCAAATCACTTTACATAATCCTAAGATTCGTGTAAATATATTTTGATAGTTTCAGAGATATTAAAATAAATAAATAAATAAAAAATATAATATATTTTCAGCCTTTCTTAAAAAAATATTAAAAATACAAGGACCTGTCCTGAAATCAAAACTATATTAGGTATTTACCTCGGTATTTAGTTTAAATGGTATGTGCTTACTTTGCGGTAGATATGGTAATCGTAAATAATACAGGAGGTTCAAAATTCTTTCGCCAAACTTTTAAAATATAAAATAATTTTTCTTCATTTTTTAATAGAACTCCTTGAATATTATTTTTTCAATAGATAGATAATTAAAAAATAAAAAAATTTTGCATTTAGAGTATTTCAAAATTTTTAACGGTTTAGCAAATATTCGCGGTTTTATATTTTATATGGCATTTTCCACAGTAAATTTTTATTAAAGCCACCCAATGATTTTTTTCTCGTATTTGACCGTTGAACGAGCC